CCTTTTATTTCAAGTTTATTTATTTCTGTATTTATTTTACCAGCAGCAGGAACTCATCCACCCATTTTCCAGAATCAGCCATGTCCAGGTGTCCTATCCAAGCATGTTCATGTGAGCCGTTGAGTGGGAGTGTGTGGGAGATGGCAGTAACAGCTGGACTAAGCACCATAAATGGAACACAGAGCCACTGAAAGAGAGAAATCACAGTCTTAACAAAAATCATTTTCAGATTGGTGCAAGCTTATGGATTTGGGAATAACTTACTTATCCTTGATTCCTTCTCTTCCTATAGTCTTACTCATAACTGACCCAATAGTCTATGTTGAGTTATCTTTACTCCGCTTAATTGTTTCAAGGTTTTAAGAAGAGTAACTTCATTGAACAATATTTGCATTTGCAGCTTTATTTAACTGTTGGATATAATTTTTAAATAGTTTTACATGTTGTATTTCTAATTAGCATCATTTTACTTCTGTATTGAATTGCTTTTTATATTAGTTTTACATTAATACTTCCAGCATTTAAATGCTATGTGTATTAGTATTTAATTTGATTTTGATTACACATCCCATTATCAGTAATTTTGTTTTTTAAGGCATCTTAACTACACTTTATATACCCTACTACTAACTTCTGTTGTGTGCCTTGTGTCTCATCATCTTCACACAGTATGTTTACTGAATCCATCTAACAAGAATCAAATCTGCCAACAACAAATCAAAAATCTGTTTAATCTTGCATTATCTATTTCATGGTCCACTGTTGGGCATATGTGTTCTAAAAACACCTATGTGTCATGATCTGGCCTGTTTGCTCTCCCTTAATTAGTAATTCCTCTCACCTGCCCTCTTCCTTCCCTGCCTCAATCATAATTTATTCCTCTCACCTGTTTCCTGTGGTTTATATTCAGTTCAGCCTGAGCATTCAGTGCCAGATCATTGCTTGTCTTTTTGTTAGTCTGTTCAGTTTTATTTGGTTCATATCCTGGATCCTAGCTGCCAGTGGAAAGAGGGTTTTAGTGTTTGTCTTGTCTCCTGATCGTCCACTGTTCCTCCCCCGTGGAGTCCTCTGGGTTTTTGGCTCATTATGGGGGGAGGTTCAGTTTTTATCAAAGTAAGCCTGGCTCCAGGGAGGAGACCAGTTTAAAGTCCAGCTTCAAGTTCCGGTTCTTACGTCCTGTCTCGGCTACCCTCTTCCACTGAGCCTGCCTGTCTTCTCCTGATCCTGTCTGCTCCTGTGCGTGACCACCTGGTCATGCTTCTGGTCCCAGTCTGACTCTGAACCCTCCTGGAAGCCTGTGCATGCCTGGAAGTCTGGATCCTGCCACCTGTCTCTGTTCCTGTCTGATCTGGATCCTGCCTGTTCCTGTCTGTTCTGGATCCCTCACCAGGATCAGCTTCCAGCATGACCTCTGGGACTGCAGCACTGGGGACACTCGTGGTCTGGACTGTTAAACCAGGTAAGTGACCAACCCAGATAATCATATATCAGTTTATCGTGGTCACTTACCTGTGCTTCCTCCCCCAGAGTGTCTGAGATTGGGCGGTGCCCCGCCCCCCTGCCTGCAGTGTCCGCGAGCCACAGCTCTGCTTTTGTTTTGTTTTTATTTTAATAAACCTTTTGAACTTTCCTACTGACTGTCTCTCCTGAATACTGGGTCCATCTGTCCCCGATTCATGACACTATGAATGTATGTGGTCTAATAGAAAGACTGAGACATTGGGCAGTTAGCCCAATCAGTTTACAGTATTGCCCTGTTCATAAGTAATTCAATAAAATGTACTTTTAAAACTAAATTATCTTTCAAGACAACAAAATCAGTGTTTCCAGTTTTGTAAAGTTTCTAGTTCAGCAGCTTTCAAGCATCAAGTTGTTTTGGGCCAAGAAGATTACAGGTACAGGGAGGATCAAAGGTAGGGATTTGTACTGTACATTTGCATCTCATTTACATGGCTACATGGACAGAGGGAGCCTTCTGCTCCCATTATTTGATTCATGAGGCAGTGAAGAGGAACTTAAAAAAATGTTTAGAAAACTCATTTTACTATAACTACAGCAGCCTATGGGATTTTAGATGGAGACTTTAACCATATAGAAATAAAGCTGTCCTCCCCAAACTCCTCAAATATATAGTTTGTGACCTAAGAGTTCAGTATACTAGACAAGCTATTATGTAATACTCCAGTAGAGTGCAAGGCTGAAGCAGCTTGTTACTATTGAATGTCAGATCATAGCTCTGAGGACCTGTTCCCTACCAAAAAACCTCTGATCTGTAGAACCAAGATTAGGGCTGGGTAAAAATAGATTTACTCGATTTTGAATCGATTCCTTTATATTTTTGCAAAATCGATGTCTAGGGAATGAGATCGATTAGTTTTATAGTGACCCGCGTAAGGTTCACATTCAAATAAGTAGGAAAGATGCACTCAAGATTACTTCAACCCAGATAGCTGCAAATATAGCCAATAGGTTGACTGAAGACATTAACAAATTGGGGCTGACCAGAAAACACTCTGTAGTTGTTACAGACAACGCTGCAAATATGGTTTGTGCATTAAAGATAATGCAACTCATGAATGTCTGCTGTGTAACGTCTGCTCGCTCGGGTGAGGCTTCACTTTTTCACTTTTCACAAACAAGTTTGCACTTATGAGACAGCTTTGTTCACATCTCATGTTTAAACTGTCTGATTTACAAGTTTGCACTTTGTGTTTAATGTGACAGGAGAAAACAAAATACATGAGTATTTTGAAACACAGTTGAACCACTTTCATTATTGTAAAAACAGTTTGAATCTAAATTAATCGATTTAGAACTGTATGAACTGTGTGAAAGTCTTGAATCAAATCGATTCATGACTTTGCCGAAAATACCCAGCCCAAACCAATATGCCACTGAAACCCTTCATGCTTTAACCAGAGAGCCCCACTCAGCCTTATAGGATTACATTAAGCACATATACTCTAGAGTGTTAAAAGAAGATGGAAATCTTGAGGAATGCACATCTGCTCTGTCCTAACTTTGGGTCTGATGCTCTTCTAGCAACTGAGACATTTGTTTTGTTTTCTAACTAGAAACCATGGGTAGACAGCACAGTGTGGTCCTTCTTAAAAAGGACATAGCACACAGTTTAAGAAAAAACTGATATTATAAGCAGCCTGTAATTACGTAGTTTTGACCACCACCTTACACAGCTCTTTAAGCAACTGAGGGTCTTAACATCTTCCTCACTCAGAGGTCCAGGATCAGCCCCATGTCCTACAGTGGTATCAAGTGACCTCCGCATGAAAGGAAAAAAACAAGGCTGCAGGTACAACACTATCCATCCAGACGTGCTGTTCCTTAACTCCATAATCTTGACTTATCTGCACTACAGGTCCTCGACACTGGCACTCAATAGGGTTGTGTTCTCAGCCCTACGTTCTTTACTTGCTTACATGACTACATAGCTACCATATGACAAACAGACTTTGTAGTGTGAGATGACATACACAAAGGAGAAGAGATCCACACTAAATATCGAGGAATAATTTTATCCCACACACAAGTAATATAACATCATCGTTGCAGTGTCTGGAAGCAGCGGCCTGATACATCTCTCGGCAATTCCACCAAATGTGCCACCTAGAACGCTACAAACCAGGCCTCAATCCCACATCTTCGACTGCCAGCTCCTGCAGGAGCAATGGTCACAAAACCTTTTTTTCCCGCACTCCTAAATACAGTCACTCTTGAACATTTAAAAAGCTGCACAATCCTTCTATCCAACGTCCTCTCACTGGATACCAAATGGATAATCTCTGACTCAAACTCTCTTCAAAAAAGGAGATAAATAACTGCTGTGCCATCATCCTGACTGAGTCTTGGCTTCATTCATCGATACAGAACAATGCTGTTAGCCTGAACTTAGCGGTATGAGTAGAGGAGGTGGGGTTTTTGTCTACATACACACAACTGGTGTAAAAATGCTAGATCGGTCGCCAGCTTCTGCTCTCCAGACATCGAGTTTCTGACTGTTAACTACAGACTGTTCTATCTGCCCAGAGAGTTCACTGTGGTTGCCATCACTGCTGTTTATGTCCTCCTCAGTGCTAATACAAAAGAGGCCATGAAGATTCTATAACAGGCTATCACTGAGCTCAAATCTGCACACACAGAGGGTTTTTTCATCATTGCTGGGGATTATTTTTACCAGGCTAACTGGAAGACTGTTCTCCCTCATTTTTACCAACATGGATTTATCAACTCGGGTTCAAGACACTTTGGATTCAGCCTACCAACCCCCACTACCACCTGGGTCATCAGATCATATATCTCTCATGCTAATTCCTGCATAAAGGCCTCAGCTAATCAAGGCAAAGCCAAAAGTGAAGGAGGACAGAGTGTGGACTGAGGGAGCCATAGAGAAACTCCAGAACTGTTTTGAACGCTCTGACTGGGACATGTCCTCACAGACATTTTTAACACCTCGCTGGACCAGTCCATGGTGCCAGCATGCTTTAAGTCTGCCACCGTCATTCCGGTCACAAAGAAGCCTCAGGTCACCTCACTCAATGACTACTGGCCTGTCACAACGAGTCCTGTCATGATGAAGTGCTTGAAAAGGCTGGTTAAAGAAGACATTGTCTGCAGTTTCCCCTCAACATTCAACCCTTTCCACTTTGCTTGACGGAACTGATCTGATGAGGACGCCATCTCCTCTGCTCTTCACCTGAGCCTAGCACACCTGGAGGAGAAGAACACCCATGTGCGGATACTGTTCCTGCACTTTATTTCAGCTTTCAACACCATCATCCCACAGTATCTGATAGGAAAACTGGAACAGTTGGGCTTCAATACACCCCTCTACAATTGCTAGACTTCCTGACAAACAGACCTCAGTCACCTCTGACGTCATCACCCTAAGCACAGGCTCCCCTCAGGGCTGCATCCTGAGCCCCCTGCTGTTCACCCTGATGACACATGACTGGGTCCCCAGGTTCACCACCAATCACATTGTGAAGTTTGCAGACAACACTACGTTGGTGGGCCTCATTAGAGATGACAACAACCAAGACTACAGAGAGGAGGTGGAGCAGCTGGTGCACTGGTGCAGAGATAACAGCCTGATCCTGAATGTGGAGAAGATGAAGGAGATCATCGTCGACTTCAGGAAGAACTGGCCTAACTATGCTCCACTGTTCATCAACAGCTCAGCTGTTGAGGTGGTCAACAGCAACAAATTCCTAGAGCTGCACATCACAGTCAACCTCACTTGGACTGTAAACACCACCTCACCGGTCAGAAGGGCACAGAAGTGCTTGTACATCTTGTGGAGGATGAGGAGAGGCCACCTGCCCCCACCCATCCTCATCACCTTCTACAGAAGCACCATAGAGAGCGTTCTGACCAGCTGTCTCACTGTGTGATGTGGAGGCTGCAGCGCCTCAGACCAGAATAAAGTGAAAGGAGTGGTGAGAACAGCAGAGGATCATCTGGGCTCCTCTTCCCTCCATAAAAGACATTTCATCACAGCGCTGTGTGTCCTGAGCCCGTAGATAAATAAATGACCCCTCCCACCCCCACCATGGACTCTTATCCCTGCTGTCCTATGGAAAGAGGCTTTGCAACATTCGATGCAGGTCCAGAAGATTCCGCAACAGCTTCTTCCCCACTGCCAACAGACAGCTGAACTGTTAACAAAAACTCTAAATCAAAGCTCAGACTCTGCGTCACACTAATTATACCAAACCAAAATTCTGCATATTTGCACCATACATATTTAATGCTCTGAACTTCCATATCAATGCACTTTTTGCACCATGTCTTTTCTTCCACACTGTTTACATTTGATAACTGCTGCACTTCATGGACTGAAAATGTTCTGAAAGCTGTAAAACGAAATTTTGTTTTGTATACACTTTGTGTAAACAAAATGACAATAAAAGCTATCTTAGTCTAAGTCTAAAGTCTAAGTAAACCCAAGGAAGTCATAGTGGATTACATGTCAAATTTATACATTCTTTCTCAGACAAACAAAAACAAGATGAAACACCCCGGCCCATACTATGGCACAAGTGAGATATAAATGCAACATGATACATTTTGATGTGCACTTGAAATCTTCAGCAAAAAATTAGCTTCTGTTGAAGAATAAGCTCTATTTTTTCTATTTTTCCTTTTTCAACTTTCTCTTATGGTGTTATTTTTTGCCTTTGAGGATTAAAAACAAAAATCTCATTTAACAATGTTTATTTTTTTCTACTATACTTTGTAATTTCTGTCTGGTTAGTATGTATGCATCCTGAATTGGGTGTCTTGTGAAAAAAAAAGAATCATGGTTTTTAAAATGACAAAGACTCTAGGTCAAATGTGAAATATAATGAATCTTTATGTAAAACTACTCTGGGTAATAAGGCTTTCCCTTTGAGGAGTTACCATATCAAATTCCTTACCCCGAGGTTTTGCCTTACCTACTAAGTCAAAACCTTGACTTCCGAAAACAACGGGAACAGATTGTAGTCATTAGGGGGTGGCACATTTTCCTGCTTAGTTAGGCATCATGCTTTAATTATTTATAGTTTTGAAATGGTATACTGAACCTTTTTAAGCTTTTCTGTATTTAGGGGTATTCTTTAGTTTTTTGACATATGGTAAAAATGATGAAATGTACAGTTTGAGGTATTACTTAGAGTTTTATACAAATCTAACTAATTGTTTTTTTTTTTACTTACCAGGCTCACAAATATAAAACATAGCTGGAAAATATCTGTGTATGCAACTGAATAGAGGCCTCCTAAAAACGTATAGATGATGGAGACAGCTGCTGAGATTATAATGGAAACTGTAGATGATATTCCAAGAATTATACTCATCGTTCCACCTGCAAAAAAAAAATATTTAATTAATGTAATATATTTTTTACAGCTCACCACAACGTTGAATTTTCTTGTTTATTTGCTTCAAAAATGTTCATTAAACAGGCTTCAGCAGGCTGTCGCCTACGTCACAGAATTACAATAAGAAATTGTTATCTTTTTTCAGAGTTACATTTTACACACCAATGAAAGAGAAAAAAAATTATTGATTTACCCAAAGCAGCAAGGATGCAGGCAACCCATAATATATCACTGAACAAAGCAGGAAGCATGATTATTGCAGTGAATATGTTGCCATATCGATTCTGAAATGGGTCCAACATTGTCACGTAACGCTTTGATCTCATAGGTCTTGCAAAGAACAGTCCACCTAAAACAAAACATAAAGAAACCAGATAATGTTTTAAAGTATCACTGCAAACTCTGGTCAAACAGAATTAAAAAGGAGATCTATTTTCTTACAGTGCACTTTAGACCTGTCTTTACCTCCTTCTAGGCCTGCAGTTTGAAAATACAATACTTGTTGCAATGGGAAAAGTTGTTTCAGCAAACTATCTGGGTTCTGTTCATTTAAATATTGATTGATGTAATATCTATGAAACCCTATGTTGCTTTGTTATGAGTTGCCTTTTACTGTGCAATCAAAACATCAACTTTTCAGTCCAACTTTACTTTAATTTTTAACCAACTTCTCTTTTTGAAAATCTTATATTAATTATCATAATTTGATCATTCATTTTATTCTCTTGAACTACATAATTTATTCATGCAACTAAATTGTTTTTCTTTTTATCTATAACACTTTGAATTAATCACGTACAGTTAGAGTAGCTGGGGTTACCCTGAGTTATCGCTATAGTTATGCTGCTATAGGCTTAGGCTGCTGAAGGACAAAGGGAGCATTTCTCATTATTTTTGCTTTATTATAATCCTATTCTCCAAATATTCATTATTTTTTAATTTAACTTCTAGCTAAATGTTCTCTTTGCTTTTTCTCTTTATAGCTACATCTGGCCTGGTGCTCATTTTAGCCGTGACACCATCCAGGAAGGAGACATCAGTTTGGCTACTGCCTTAAAAAACTTAAATGAGTTGGACATGTTTTTAAGTGTTCAGTTTTCTTCTGTCTTTGACATAGCTATTGGCTCAGCTTTTATTGTGACTTTCTGTGTGGTGCTCTTGAGCTGAATTATTTATGTCATTAAATGTTTATGTTTTAATTAAAATCTATTGTGACTCTTTAGCATATGTGTGCAGAGATTTGTTTGACAATATTCATGCTCACATTTATTCTTCCATCTGTTGTCCTAAAACACCACCCATTTTGGTTTGTGATCACAGTACAAAATATAACAGAAAGCATTTATTTGTAAAGCACAACTTAGTGCATGGCAATTCAGTGTTATACGTGAATTAGACAATAAAACAGAAAAAAAGCAGAATAAACGCAAATAAAGATAAAAATAAAAAGAGGAGTAAACCTCTTAAAATTAGTTGCAATGGAAAGGCAGATTAAGAGTCCTGAGTTATTATGCATTGAATATCTAAAAACTAAATACACAGGTACCTTTTCTTAAAAAGTTTGACATTGTATCTTTTTGAATACAAATACAGTACCTATCAGCTGGAGTAATTTTGAAGATAAAAAAACAGATTTGTTAGTTTACTTACCCAACAAAAAATTCATTGCAAATGCTGGGGGCCCCAGAGCCCACACAAGGCCTTGAGTGGGAGTATAAACAGACTCAGCAGTTCCCATAATGTAACCACCACCAACCCATGTTGCTACAAGAAAAGCAGAAAAGAAAAAACAAAATAGAAAAATAAAGAAAGGAGGTGCATAGAAAATAGGCAACAGTTACCATTTTCACATTCTAACTCAGAGGCTTTACCTGTCATGGTAAAAATCCCGACCAGAACACTGATGTTGCGGCCACCAATGATAGAAATTTCGCTCTTTGGTCCTGTGCATGTCTTCTCCACCTTTTTGGCTTTATGAGATCCCCAGAATCCAATTGCCAGGATAAACAGGTAAAAAACGATCACAGACACGAGTCCAGGGACATCCACTGTCATGATGACTCTAGAAAAAAGACAGTTGTGCAGCACTTATGATGACGTTTTTATATATAAAACGACACAATCTAAAACATTTTGACATACATGAAATTATAGTTTACTAAACAATATATCTGTCAGGCAAACAAGAAAAATGTATGCAGCAAGGCAGGGTGAAGATCGAACTAAGTTTTTTTTTGTAATTTTCCAATGAATCTAGGTCATTACACTGCAAAAAAATTGAAATAATTTTTCTTAAAATAAGTGCATTTCTTCTCGAATTGAGGAGGTAAATGAGACACTTTTCCAAGGGAACAAGACAATTTACTTTTAAAATAAAAATAAAAAAACCAATTGCATTGTCTTATTTTAAGTGCATATCATCAAATTATCTTACTTTAAGAGTAAAAATACTCATTCAATTGGCAGGTCATCTTATTTACTGACTGAAATTAAACACATTATACATATTTTAGATGATTTTTGCAGTGTAGACTGAAACATCTGTTGGCCGATCATTTTGGCCAACATACCGGTAAGCATTTTTTTTTTTTTGTATTGGAAAGGACCAATACGTACTTAGTTTGGCCTATTTATGTGGCCTATTAGGTGCATTCAGCAGCAATGCTTGAGATTATGTAGAGTACATGCATTCCCACTCCCCTCCATTCATCATTAATGTAAATGGGGATGCAAATATACTGTAGCACCGTTAGATTGATGTCAAGATAATGCCTACAAAGATGTACTGGTCGATCTCTAGTCATGAAGTTGGAACTACAAAGTGAAATGTTTATCACTGAGTGGTTCAATAATTTTTACATTGAGAGATTACGTCAACCAGTACAACATCCCTCTACATGTACCATTTCCAATGATGGGAACCTCCTGAAGAAGATATTTACTTCAATCCCCACATGTAATTATGTCAGGTAGATCACTGGTGTTAACCAATACATGTCACTAGATAGAGGTAAATGACTACAGTGTGTCTGAGAGTTATACTTAAAAGTTTGACTGGAATAGGGTTAGGGTTAATGCATTTGTTACTAAAGTTATCTGCAATCTAAAAATGAAATCACTTTTTTTTTTTAAACTTTATATTTTCATATACTATTTATCATCCCAAAACATGCATTCAAACCCAAATTGAAAGATAGACTTGTCTGGTTTATTTTCCAACTGTCACTAGTCAAACTCTACTGTTACAAAGCATAGAACCAACAAAAGCAAATACATTGCTAATAAATCTTTTTTCATGGACCACAATGCCAAAACATAAAAAAACAGTCTGCTAATTTCTTGTTAAGTGACAAAAATGCAATTCCGGTGTCAAAAGATAAATATTAGGCAATTTTTCTTTGGTTGGTTGGGTAGTGGAAAACATACCGTACTTTTTATATAAATGATGGTATGTGGGACAAAACATCATATTAAATCAGGTTATGAGATCCAATTCAATTCAACTCAAAAATATGTTATTAAGGGGAAATTAAATAAATAGATAATTCATAATAATTACTAGTAATCTAATAACAGGCCCATGTTCATGTTGTTTCAGACAGCACCATATAAACACCCAAATCACTCCCTTTATAAAGAAAAATACCTTTATTGCATTCATATCCCAACAGACTTAATGTCCCCCCTGGTAAAGATGTAATAAATGCATTGAAATAAATATTCTAGGAAAATGATTTTTTTGGTTAAATCTTATTTCTTACCCCTCTCCTAAGCTGAGCACTCTCCCTAATTTTTCTATTTTCTATAAGACATTTCACTGGGTATTAGAAAGGCTGTAAAACATGCTAACTTTGTGTTATGTGAACATATGGTTTAGATCCTCATCCTGCTGAAAAACCAAATGAACCCTGTGGTGGTTTGTGGATTTTTCGCTCAGCTGCAAGTAAGACATTAGGGCAATGGGTTAGGAACAGTGTCCAGAGAGATTATTACCACAGCAGTGAAGGTTTCAGTTTTAATTTCTCCTCTTTCAGCTGTGGTGTTGATCTTGGATCAAGGCCAAAGAAATGGTAAGAATGTCTTGTCTGCATTGAACCCTTAATACAACTATCACTATTGATGTCCAAGATTGTTTTAGGGTGTCATTGGACAAGCACAACAATAATAGCTACCACTGGCAGCTCTGAGGCAAAATTTCCAGGTAATCATCAAAGGCAAGCAGAGAGGGGGTTACTGAGATCTGAACCGTGTGCAAACTCTAACAGAGAAGATGACCCAAAAACCAATCACCTGCTGAGCACCACCTGCACATTTATTTTATATTCTACAATTTTATCATTATCTAATATATATTATATATAAGTCTTCAGTAGGCTACAAGAATTATAGGTTTTAAGTTATGAAATAAAACCCAGCACTAAATTCAAAATTGTGAGCTCTAGATTTTTGGCTGATAGATTGTCCTAGAAAAAAAAAACTCTAACTGCATTGTCTGCCCTTATTCAGTGTTTTAAGGACTTGTTTTACTTCCCTTCGTAGAATGCATCACCAGGATGGAGCGTGTGTGGTTGGTCTCTGTGGTGCAGAGGTCACTGAGGGAGAAGGGGCTCACCCCAAAACTAGGGGAGTCCCAATACAACTTTTTCATTTCTGATATATGTTGATAATATAGAATCTGCTACTCTGTTAGCTAATATGTTGGCAGCTGTTTTGATCACGTTGGTGTTAAAACACAGGGCAGCTAGATAGAAATGCCAGCTTGCACGGAATTATGGAATGATATACTGGAGCAGAGTGTTTCTATCAGCTTATTTCTTTAGATGCAAGGCAATATCTTTCGATAAGAGACACAGGATACATAATTCGGCCAATATTTCTAGTCAATACTTGTGTTTTTTTCTTTTATCAGTATCGGCCAATTACTGCATTATCTGTGCAATTACTTAGAGCATTCAGCAGCAGACCTTAATATCATGTGAAGTTTATTTGTTGATAAATGTTTCCTTTTTGTCAAACTGAGACTGTGTAACATTTTTTTATCACTGTGTTTTTTCATTACGTGATTTCTATTATATAAATGGCGGAAGGAAAAGCAGTATGGGCTCTAAGAAACATCCCAAAACAATCTGCTGCACATACTAACAAACTGGTTAGACTGATGTTAAAATAATCAATATCACCATCAACTTTAAAAACACGTATCAGTCAATCTCTACTTTTGATTCTCACTTTTTAAGTGGTAGTGGACCTAATTCCAAAATCAATATTAGATAAGTGCATCCCTACCCATAACTGATAAGGAGAGCTATCAAACTGTCAGGAATCCAGTTTGTGTGATCTGTTATTTTGTGTTTGTCTCTCCCTCCACCAGCAAGTGGCACCCTTTCCTCATTGGTCTTCCCTGCACACCTGGATCTTGTTGGATCATTATTTGGAGGATTACTTAAGCAGTGGACTGTCACTACATCGACACCAGCGTGTTTGCCAGTTTTGGGAAGCCATCCTGCAAGCTGGATGTTTGGCCTTCTTCCCCTGGAAGGATTGTTTGAGTCTCACACTGAGCAGGGGATTAACCTCCACAAGTTCCGTTCAAGTCCTCCTGGTTTTCCGAGTGACAGTCTGCTCAAAAGCTCCTCCGGGTCCAACAAATGTCTACCTGTCCACTCTCTAACGAGTCACTACCTCTGGATCAACCTACACTGATTGGATACAAAGTGAGAGAAGAACCACCCCAAACGTGAGTCCCTTACCAGCGTTATCCTTATGGCATCCAAGATTCCCACGGTACCTGAACTCACCTCTGTGAACTTCCCTCCTCCCTTCCAGTTCTGGTTCACCAGCCCTCTGAGTACCAGATCCAACCCCTCAACCCCTTACCACAGTAAACCCGTTAAACCTTTGCCTTGCTCTCTGAGTGGTTCTCTGCATTTTGGGTCAGATCCTTAAACAAATCAAGACACAAACAGACGGAACAGAGTCTTGGTTAAGGTGTTGGCGCTCTCTTCAGCAGAAAAAAAGTAAATGATAATTTTTAACTTTGTTCCAAAAAGTAATTTCAGGCAGAAAGTTATAGGATTTGATTATGTTTAAAACCTTTGGTGGGATTCACTTTTGTAAGAGCTGGTTGCCAGGAGCCCATGGTGGTTAACAGCTGTAACCAAAAGTATAAAAGAATCTGTAAAAGCAGCACTCTGTGATATCAATAGGATTTAATAGGTTGGCCTTCAACAGCTTATTACATTAAGATGCTTCCTAATCTCTCTGTAGATAAGTGGATTATCTTAAAGCTGACTACAGCTCGTAGCCTAAACATATCCATTTAATCAATAATAGATACATAGTTTTGTCTATAGTTATGAAATTTCTGAAAGCAATCATTCCCCCATCTCACCATCTGCATTGCTAGTTTCCTATTTCCACAAAAGGAGAGAATGAATCACAGTGGCCATTAGGGCCACACATGTTCCTGTAGGCCTTTTTTTTTTTTTTATAAATCACAACGCTTGCATGGAAAGTGACGTATGACAAAGGCCTTGCATGCATATGCAAGCTATTTTTCACTGGTACCAGCTCTATTTGTATTGTCTTTGTTAGTATTAACTCCCCTTTGCACGAATGGTTTACCATCACAACTGAGTGGGCTACTGCAGTATATAGGCAGGGTCGTCACAGTAAGGCCACCCTACTGTTCGTATGTAACCCAGACACAAAGCAACAATGGATGACCTTCTGCAGTTTATGGCTCTTAGTCAGACGGAGTAAAAAAGAAGGACCAAAGAAAGGTGCAGAAAGCAAGACAAAGCACTCTGAATAGTATCGAGAGGGGGAAGTAAGATAGCTTTATCAAACTAAGGAATACAAGCTGGAAGACACACAAGGGAAAGCTAATGTTGCCTGCCGGTCTGCTATGCTGGTCATAAAACGCAGTTTTGTGGGTGAAGTCATCTGTTCTTATAAAAAAGGCTATGTACAGCCTCTCATTTATCCTTTAGGATCATGCATTCCACAGAGGGCTGGGAGCCATTTTGTTTCTGTAGGTAAGCAGATGTCAGCCTTGCTTTACCTTGCTTGGAAACTATCAGGATAAAAGATGTTTAGTAGGCCTGAATAAAGGACTATAAATAAAGGAGCAATAAAGAATTATCTAGCCCATTGATCAGTCTAAACCAATGTATGCTGCATCCTCTTCAACCAACATACTGTAATTTCTTATTGAACTCTTGGAGGGACACAAAGGTAGGGATTATCCACTGACATCTAGTGTTCCAGCCCTTTTAATTCATCGTACATCAGGGGCACAGATTCCCAAAGACAGTGTTATAAACTTTAATACCTTTGACTTAATGGCTCTCTCGCCAAATTAGGTAACTGACAAGAGCTCCAAATACCGAATTAACTCTACAACAGAATGGCTGAAGTAAAAAAAAAAGAATCAAGATGTATAGTAAATCACTCAAAGCCCAGGGTTGAAAAATGAGCTGCATAAACCAACAGTTCATCTAATGAAACAACTCAAATAAAGTTTAAATGCCTTTTGCAAAGGCAAATGACTAAGTGTGACAAGTTGAGTAATATGTTTGCACTGATCATCACAAATTAATCGCTTCAATTTGCACCTACTTCAGAGTGGAATGAACTGCAGAAAGATTTAAAGTTGAAATATCTGTTAATGTATTAACCCAGTTTATAAATATTGTTTATATTTGCAAATGCTTTCACTAAAATAATATTTTATATTGTTATTTCTATTTCATCTGTTTACCTAAATGAACCATAAATGTAATTTGTTGTGGTGTCTGTGGATTTTTGGATGTTTATGTCTTCCATTTAAAAACAGATTTTAATTCTCACAGATCTATATGGATAACCAGCCCTGTAGAATTTCTAAATACATCGCTGCATATATACAATCCTAGTTTTTTTTTTTTTTTTTTTTTTTTTTTACACAATAACCTATTATTTACTAAATCTACAACACTTACTGTGTAACGACACAACAATAGGCCCGTAAGCAACATTATCTGGGTGGGTCCCATATGAAGTACAACACTCTGGATTACCCATAATTCCAAGTTGTAGTGTAAAAAATAAAATACCCAAATACATTGTTCTTTTAAGATCTTTATTGCGGATTGAAACATATTTTATGAGCGTATTTTTTACCAACCGTCTAATGAACTATACATAGTTATTAACATAGTAATTAAAAGTACCACTGTATTGGTGTTGTTTAAACTGCTCACCATGATTTTGAAATCGGGCAAGTGTTGGGGTATAAAAGGGGGCTGGTCAGTGATATTAGGTAGGATTTAAGTGGAATTTTTTTTCGTACCATTATGTCTGCAATCTGACGTCCTAGTTCAAAATTGCGAAGGGGGCCAACCAGGTGTCAGTAACGTGGCCCCAAGGGGTCGGGGCCCCTTAAGCAACTGCAGTCTCTGCTTACCGTTGCTTACTGTATCACAGCCAGGCGGCTAAAGGACGCAGTGTGGCATTATAACAGTGCGCTGACTGCAAGAGGAGGAGGAAGAGGAGGAACGGAAAACTACTGCACGTGGCTTTATGTAAAAAAAAAAAAATAAATAAATAAAAGAGTGTTTTAAAACACGCAATTAAATGGCAGACATATATAATTAAAAGATTTAAATACGAATACGCCGCACAATGAAATCATCTTAATTGTGGTTATAATCCAACTCCGCTTTAACGCAACCGCATCCCAAGAGCGAACAATAGCATCACTGCCATTCAGCCGGTTATACATAACCACGATGATACACAACACCAATTCCGGTTGTTTTCTAACTCTTGCGCTGTTTTGTAAAATGTCCGATTCAAAACAATTTAAGCAAAGGCACGTGAAAACATTTGATGTTTAACTTACCCTTCAGCAGAAAGAAAGTATCAGGTATCCCAAATCCTTCCCGTGTAATTGAAGTCGCTCTGCTAAATTATAAAACTGACTGGGCGGGATGAGTTCAGCGCTGTGGTTCCGTTTCTCTTTATAGTCCGCTTCTTACAAAAGCATCATAGTGTTAACCATGGAGTGGCTTAAGTTCAAGGTGTCCCCAATATCTAGTGTTTTCTTGTAAATGTTGCCTGGCGGCACATCAATCGGATAACGGGGCTGGTTTGGTGAATGTAGGGAGCGACTATTTAAATAAATAAATAAATAAAAATCGCTGGAATGGAAAGATGATCTGGAAGCAGCAGGTCGGATGCTGCCTTTCTTCAGTTTAGTAACACGGTCTTTTTTTTCTTTTTTGTTTTATCTCGTGAGAGTCAAAGAGAAGTACCCACTCAGAGCGATATCGTTTCGCTATGCTACATATTTAACCCTGTGTTACCGTGACTGCGCTGAGCTGAAAATGATGCTTCCTGAAAGCTGACACCACATCCGTGACGTCTATTTTTAAAATAGCTAAATCCTCACAGATATGCCCCTAAGCCGCTACAAATAAAGAAAGAATTTACGCACATTCCATGCAGATAGATAGATAGATAGATAGATAGATAGATAGATAGATAGATAGATAGATAGATAGATAGACAAGC